ACCCTAACCAGCAGAATATGATGACTAAACAATTGTAGCTCAATTCCTGGTTCTAGCTATGGAGTACACTTAATTCATCCCCAAATAGTCATTTGGGAACAACAATGAGCAAATTAATCATATTCCTGTGAGTTTAAGCAGCAGCAACAAGAAGGAGAAGTAAAAAATGCAGACTGAATATGAAAAGACTGGGAGTGGGAAAACTGTGTAAAACATACTTGAGTAAAGGATTTACACTCATGTTAAGTTTGATTGAAGACTAGCAAGACAAAATGTAGGCTCCTGTTGAAAGCCACAGAATGCCCTACACTCTTTATCATCAAGACAGTTACAAGATATGCTTGTACAATAACTGACATAATAATGCCCAGGAAGGGTGTACCTTGTGTGACTTTGACTATAACACGTCTCAAAAAGCTACTTTTTGATTGAATCTATTTGGGGACCTTTTGGCCTTCTGAATCTGGATGTCTATATCTCTCTCAAGGCTTGGGAATTTTTAGCTGTATTTCATTAACGGATTTTCTATGCTCTCCCTACTTTCTTCTACTTTTAAAATGCTTATAATGTACTTAATGGTGTCTCATTAGTCTTTCTTCCTGTATCTCTCTCTCTCTCTCAGCCTGACTGGGTTAATTCAAAAGACTTGTCTACAAGTTCAGAAATTCTTTCTTCGGGTTCATTTAGTCTGTTGTTGAAGCTGAATATATTTTCAACTATATTTTCAAACTATATTTTCACTTCATTCTTAAATTCTTTAAGATTTTGATTTAGTTCTTTTTTATGATCTCTCTCTGTTGATTTTCTTATTTGGATACTGCATTCTTTTCCTAATTTGTTACATTTCTATAGGCATTCTCTTATGTCTCGTGGAGCTTTCTTAAGATCATTTTTTACTTTCTTATCAGCATGTCACGGATTTCCTTTCCCTTGGGTCTATTACTAGGGAATTATTGTATAACTTTAGCAGTATTGTTTCCTTGCTTTTTTAGGCTTTCTGTGTTCCTAAATTGATATTTGTATATCAATTGGAAAAGTTACTTCTACTAATTTTATAGAATGGGTTTCATAGTGAAATACTCTCTTGGAGATGCACTCTATGGTATAGGTTATGTAGGGCGTGTTGGCTTTGGTTCTGCATAGCTGCAATGCTGTAGTGTCTGTGCAACTTCTTCAGCTATAATCAACATCGGTGATGTCTGTGAATCTCCCAGTTGCCCCCATTGCAGGGGTTTGTGGGACTATTTGTTGGAGAGTAGTTTTCCTAGTCGGTGAGTTTGCCAATGCTCCAGGTTGAGGTTGGGGCTGGCATGGTGGCATGCTTGGCTGAGGAGACATGCTGCTTAGCTATCTCTGTGAACCACAGGTGGATGTGATCTCAAGATGGGGCTTTGCATCTGTGGGGAAGGGAACAACATTGTCTGGGATCTTTCTCTAGAGTAATTTAGCACTGTGAACCCAAAGCTTTTTTGCTACCACATTTGTTAATTTTGATATTGTTTTGTTACACTTCTGAACTCCTCACCTTGGAATTCTTTGGCCTATTTACTGAAGAACCTTAACTTAACCTGGAATTACAAAGATTTCAGAAGCAATAATATACAGATTCTAGGTCTGACTTCTCCAGTAATTTGCCATTACTTCGAATGAAAACCAATGGTGACAAAATAAATCAATACATAAAAATTTTAAGAAAGGGGAACAGTGCTGTGGCATAGCAGGTAAGGCCACCTCTGGCATACCATATGGGTGCCAGTTCAATTCCCAGCTGCTCCACTTCCAATCCAGCTCCTTGCAAATGTGCCTCGGAAAGCAGTTGAAGATGGTCCAAGTGCATGGGCCTCTGCACCCACGTGGAAGACCTAGATGAAGCTCTTGGCTCTTGGCTTCAGCCTGGCCCAGCCGTTGTTGGTGCAGCCATTTGGGGAGTGAACCAAGAGATGGAAGATTTCTCTCTGCCTCTGCTTCTCCCTCTCTGTAACTCTGTCTTTCAAATAAATAAATAAACTTTAAAATGAAAAGGTGGCTGCCTATTTCTCTCTAAAATTAGGAAGAAGAGACGAAAGAAGAGGGAGGTGATTTACAAGTGATCCTTCCCTTTGAAAATTTCCTTTTAAGATTTAAAGATTAAACACCTTTCTTCTAGAAGAGAAAATTGCTAGAATGGAAAAGATCCACATGACTCATTAGCACTGTGCAATGTCTGTAAGTTTTTCTGACCAAAATTCATATTTTCATAATTCAACCTAGCACACACGTGTGTGTGTGTGTGTGTGTGCATGTATGGACAATGGAAACAATAATTGTATAAAATACTACTCATGTTTACCATGTAAAATACTCTCATACGTTTTATGATCAGCACTTTTTCTTTCTCTTTGTTTCCCTTGTATTCTCTCCTATAGTCATGACAACATAAGTGATTTTGCCTTGCTGTTTGAAAAATGCTAAGTTACTATAGGATTCCAATAGTTTTGAATAAGAAAGGAGAAGAAAAAAACTGGAGATGGAAAGTTTGTTCACTAATTTTTCTTCTTTTTTCCTCAGGCAGTAGCTCCTTTAATTTATCCATTGTTGATTGAGGCTAATACACTGCACACAACCTGAAGGGAGCCTTTACTCTCCTAGAGGTTGATATAATAAAGCAGTAGGATTGTGCAGTGGAGAATATTGTAAACAATCTGGTGTCTTCCCACCAGGTTGATTTCCCAGTGGTCTTGCATGCGGCATGCTCATTTCCATTCAAGTGTCTTTATTATCACTTAACCTAGAATTCCAGCCATTTACCAAATCATTCTCTTTGCCTACTCCTATTATGCTCAGGTCTACCAGTGGAGAGTTGTACTGATTTTTTCAGTTCTTAAAGGCTACTAAAGGTACACAGGAGAACACTCCAGTCCTTAGAGGCCTTCTCCGTCAGGTGCAATCCATATCAAAGGAAAGACCATCAAAGCTATTATTTTTCAACTAAAGCTGTTATTTTCACCACTTATAAGTGAACTAAGAGACCCAAATAATTCAAGATCCTCACAATCAACTTTGTTTATTCAACTAGAAAGCTTCAATCTCACTGTAGACATTTTATCATGTGTAGTGAAAACACAGTTCTTTACTATTGTTGATTGAGCATTTGGCCTTGGAAAATACCATTTAAAGACTCAATTCTGAGTTACTTTTCATCAGAGGTGGGAAAAATAGACTTTGCTGTGATACCTTTCTATCTCCATAAAGAGAAATAATTCAATCCAGATCTCAAGTGCTACCCAGCAACTTTTTCCCACATACCCTATTCAAAACAGCTTTGTTGACTTTTCAAACTATCAAACACTGGCAAATTATAAGCATTTTTAATAGTACAATCATTAACCTCTAAGTTTTTTATCCAACTCTAGAGCTATGAATTGTTTTTATTTTAGTTCATTTGTATATACAAGAACTGCTATCCACTAAATGCCTTTGTGCAAGGAATCTATCTAAAAGTATTGAAACCATGTCAAAAGGACGTAATTAGTAGTTTGAAAAGGCTCTTATTAAATACAGGTGGAACAAAATAAGCATTAAAAACCATAATACTAAGAGACTAAAGCACACCAAATATAGAATATCCAGGAGTACATAAAAATATTTTTTAAAAAAGTCATTGACCACCTCTGGGGTTTGCTAGGATACCAATTCATTAATTCTGAAAATTAATGAAGAAAAAGTAAAATATCAAAACTAGCTGCTTGATGATGTTTTTAATATGTTTTGCAGCTCTTTTGTGACCAAAATAATTTGGCTTTTTTTGTGTGTGTGTTATGGGCTTTATTGTGTTTTCCTATGATGTGAACCTTGCTTTCCAAAAAGATTTTGAAATTAACCTAGACTAATTTTACTTTTCCTGTAATTTCATATGAATGAAATCATTCAGTATAGTATTTTGTATTTGGCATTTTTCATGTAGTATTTTGTTTTTGTTATTCATCCATGTAGGACTATTTTAATCCTTTTGTTGCTGAATAGTATTCCATTGTATGTATTCACAATTTGCTTACTAATTTCCCAGCATTTTTCCTGTAGCTGTTTAAATATTATTTTCCTTTATTTTGCTAATACGGAGGATTACACTGACTGATTTTCAGATGTTAAAACAACTTTGCATGCCCAGGATAAACTTCACTGGTCATGATAAATTATTTATTTTAATGTTGATTTTAATTTATGAAAATTTTGTTCACTACTTTTGTGTGTATTTTTATGAGAGATATTAGTCTATAGCTCTCTTTTCTTTGGCGGTCTATCACTAGTTTTGATATCGGGGTAAAACTGGTCTCATGCAACGAATTCAGCAATGCTTTTGCAAAACCTACTTAATACCTTACAGAACTTTGAGCAAACATTCTTACTTTGTTCGTTTTTTCTCCTTATTTCCCAATTAAATCTATCCTAACCAGCTTCAAGTCCAGCGTGGAGTTGGCTGAAGTAGTGAGTGACTAGCAATCACAAATATTAGACAATTAGACCTAAGTCATATTAGGGACTACTTTCACTCAACATTTAGAAGGGGGAAATGAGATCTTCAGATTGCCACACTCTTCCCGTTGTCCTACCTTTAAGGATCTCCATCATCATGTAGCATTCACGACAAACCTCTGCGGCTAGAAATGCCTAAAGTTCCTACAGTGTATATATTTACATTACAAAGTTGGTGTGTTCACTCTTACTCTTTTTCCTCCCTAGCAACAGGAGCACTGTTCTTACTAACACAATTCAAAGAAGGAACAGCAAAACAATGAAGCTCCAAGATTATGTGGCCTGGGAGAGACCAGTTGAACTGGGCATGCTCAGTCGCCAGGCAGAATTTTTTTTTTTTCTTTCCGTCAAGTGGAAACTACAACAGCGCGTACCGTGCGCGCGGAGGTGGGCGTGTCCGCCCGGAATTTAGAACGCTGCCTCAGCCAATGGGGCCTCGCGGCCGGCTGGCCGGGCTCCTCATTGGAGAAGCGGGGCGGCGAGCGAGTGGAGGGCCTCGGGAGGGAGCCGCGGAGGTGCGGGTCGGGGGAGGCCGGGCTCGCCGTACCCTGCGCCTGAGCAGCTGCAGCGGCGGAGGCAGCATCCAGCGGCGGTGCCAGCAGTTCCAGCCCGTTGCTTTACTTTGGGCTGCACCCACAGAGCCATTATGCCGAAGCGAAAGGTAAGTCTTACCGAGAAAAGATTTTCGAAGGCCTTCCAATTGTGCTTACAACAAATCCTGTCATCGCGGTGGGTCGCACAGTGCGCGCGCGGTAGCAACTCGGGCGTCGGGAATCTCTGCTTCTCCACGCTTGTTTTCGGATGCCTGTTGCAGACATCCTCATCGATGTCTGACTGTTACTTTCCCTCTGGCGACGCGGCTTCCCCGCTTTACGAACTCATTCTCGCGGGCATGGTTTCCAGCTCCGACGAGAAGCAGCAAAAGCGGTGTTGCGTTCCCATCCCCGACCCCCCTCCCTTTCAGGAGGAGAGTTTCCTCTTCGCCAACTGGCAGGTTTGATTAGCGTGGAGGGAAGGCAGCGAGAGGACAAGTAGTGGTACGAGATCGAAACGGGGAGCTGAAGCTAAGTACAGAAAACAGCCCGCGCGGATGTTGGGAGTGTTCCCGTGAGGGCTGCGCCCGCGGCTGGGTGCGCCGCGGCGGCTCTGGGGCTCGGGGAGAGGGAAAGCCATGTTTAAAATAGCGCTCGCCCTCCTGCTCGCCTCCGCGCAGACCCGTATGTTCCAACTCCAGTGTCAATCAGGGCTGGGGACCGCGCGGGCGGGGCCGGGGCGGCCTGGACCCGCCCGCGGCGCGCGCCGGCCGCGGCGGAGTTGGCGGCGCGGGAGACGTAAGAGCGCCGGGCGGCCAGTGTGGCTGGCCCAAGGTCAGGGGCCAGCAGGCCCTCTTGGGCGACCTGGAGTCACAGCGCCCTTCTTGCGAAGGGGGCACTGGGGTCATGTCAGTCTCCTCTTCCGCTCCCTCCGTGCTGCGTTCCCTTCCGCGCAGGCCCGTGACGCCAAGTGCCTTGCCCAGGGACACTTTGTCCCCTGGAGGGGAGGGGTCTTTCCAACCCCCCCCCCCCCAAAACATGTTGTGTGATGGCCGGTTACCAAGAAAATGCTTCGCACCCTCGCACTGCCTGCCCCAATGTTTCCAACCGTGTCAACCAGAGTGTATTAAATTTGAAGCAAAATTACAAATAATAACCTTTATCAGTTAAAGACTGTGTGCTAGTGAGTGTGTGTGAGTGTGTGTGTGTGTGATTGAGAAACTAATGGAGTTTTAAAAATTCAGGAACTTTTTGCCTGCTTATCTGTCGTTACTCAGAATTTGGTTGAAACGTATGTGCTCCTTTTTTTTCAAAACATGAACATTAAAGCAATTTTTAAACTCCTAAAAGACTGTTGTGCACCTGTTGTGCGCCTCGTGCTGTGCAGCTTGACTTGCATTGTCTCCTGTAAGCCCCAGAGCACCTTGAGCAGTGTTTTCCGGGTTGAGCCGCCAATAGTAAATAGCAAAGATTTGATCAGGAGCTGTGGAGCCCCAAGTCCTTCCTCTCAGCCATTACTTACCCTTTTAGTGATAAACGGAGCAAGAGGAATTTAGGCTATCCCAAGGGACTTCTGGTTTAAGATGATGGGTGGCATATTGAGAGTACTTATACTTGTGATTCACTATTTAAATTTTTATGAGAATATTGTTTTTCTAGGCCCAGTGTGCTAGAATGAGGATAGTAAAATTTTGTCACAATTTTCAGAATTTTATCCAAGGATAAATGATGGGTTGAGATTTCTAGTAGAACTGAAAGAACTAACCATCAAGAAATGGGTTATAGAATGAGTTGGGGCCATCTCTTTACCTGGGATTTCTTAATAAATGTTTAGATAAACAATAGATTAGATGTGGACCTGGCTTGGTAGAAACCTTCCTTCTTGTTTAAGGGCTAGAGTTGGTGAAATTCTTACTTTTCATTTCTCACTGTCCACATTTTTCAAGCATATTGAGGGAAGAAGAGCAATAGAGTACGGGATTTTGGTCTGGGTTTTATTTCAATGGAAGACAGAACTCTGACAAAATAAGCTTGACAAGTCCTGGGACCAGGAGCAAACCTGTGTTCAGGTACCCGTGTGTCATCCTTAAGGACATCAGAGATAGAAAGCCTCTTTGTGAATATTAGGAAGGCTTTTCATTTTCACCTGGAATCCAAAGACCTAGGTTAGTTCCTTGGCAGGAGCAGCCACAGATTAAACATGGCTGTCGTGCAGCAGTTAAACCTTAGAGCTGCCACATGGAATCTTGAAGTTCACAAAACTGACATTAGAAACCACTGTTAAGTAGAGATGTTTAAGGAAAAACAGAAAGAACTAGAAACAAGCCACGCATCACTCTTCAAGATCTTTAAAGCTGGGGTCACTGCAGAAGTTACTTTACAGCATTTTTGTTGATCGCAAAACTGCCTGTTCTACAGTGCATTAATCTTCAAAAGTGCCCCATGATACGTTTTTGCAGTCTTAGCTCCGTTTGTCACCTATTTCTAGAAAACAAAAAAAAATGTGTTGTTTAGTGAACATCTGAGTTCTGCAGAGCAAGGAGTGGTACTAAGAAAATTACTGAAAACTTCCAGAATCCCAGCACTGTTTTAATGCTGTAGGGACACAGAGTTTGCTTTCTTGGAGCTTATATCAGTGAAGTGGTATGACAGGCAGACACAAAACAGTTGAATGACATTAAGGCTATTGTATATGTTCCCGAAGGTATAGATGATCTATAGATTCCAAAGGCTATAGGGTGAATAAGGAAAGAAAGCTACATTTGGGCTGGTCTTTAGAGTGTGGATGGCATTAAATATACGAATGGAAAATCAGTCATTCTATGTTATCAAACATTTGAACACCTCTTCTGAATGTATCTTAACATGACCAGGCCTCAGCTAAACAACTTCAAGGCCATAATATCCATATCAATATAAAATGTTATGACATTTCATTTTTAAGTTTTATGTATGTCCTTGAGTGTGATAGTCACAGATAAACCAGAGATTATTTTTTAATAACTACTGCAGGGTTTTTTGAAGCAGCACTTCGTGAGAGTTCTTCAGTGTATAATAATCTGTTTTTGTGTAAGATTCAAATAAAGTTGATTTTTCTGTTATATAATGGATGGTAAGTGAATGGACTGGCAGGGGTATTGATAAAAGATAACATTCATGAACTCAGGTGCGGTTGGAACCAAGAGTGACTAACAGTTCTAGACTGTTCTGGTCAGATGTCCACAAATGACTGCAGTGGTCATGCCATTATTTCATGGTCTGAAGCACTGGCCAGTGAGGTCTGGAATCACAGTTTTGGTGGGATCAGCAACAATAAATACATTTTCACATCCTTCTTATTTTTCCAGTTCCTTATTATTAAAACTGTTATAAATGTCTAGTGTAGCATATCAGAAATTCTCTAATGAGGCAATTTTCCATGAATTTGACATGTACATGGAAATATTTTTCATACTTAAATATTTAAGGACAAAAAATGCATCTGCTTTAAATATGACGTTAGGCTTTATCTGTTTTCTTAAAATGGAAAAGCCCAGTAGCATTGGAGTTGGTGTAGGAATGCTTAACTAAATACTCAAGATTTCTGATAATTGATCTTTCAAAGGACTATAACTTGTCATGTCACCAAAAAGAGAAACTGTAATATAGATAAAATACAGAAGTGGTAATGTAGCTATATAAAATATAGATAAATTTGACTGTATGGGAACAAACATTTCAACACAGCAAGAGAAACCACTGGTAACAAAATTTTAAAATTTACAAAAAACAGGAGAAAGTATCTGTTTCATATGTCACTGAAAATGGTTTGCTATTTTTAAAAAGGTGGTCTCACATTTCCTATGGCAAGGACATGTGTACTTGTATATGCTTACAGGAAAATAGTGAAGACTCAGTATACACAAATGTTTATTTTACTAGAAATCAATGGCATGGACATTATTAAGAATAATGAGATGTGGTTCTTAAAAAATAATCAGGGTTTTAAAATACTGAATGTAATTACTACATCATCCTGGGATACAACATTGGACACTCTCAAGCAATGTGAATGAGAGCGTACTTTCATTTTAAAAAAAGACTTATATTGAAGTGTGATCTGCTTTTCAAAAATCCACTCATCCATTCAACATATACAATTCATTGATTTTTAGTGAATTATAGTTGCGCAATCATTATCATAGCCCAGTTTTAAAATATTTCTGTCACTCCAAAAAGGCCCCTCAAGTTGTTTACAGCCAATCCTTGCTTCCACCCAGGCCTATGTGGTCCCTACTCTAATTCCTCTCTCTCCAGATTTGCACAATTTTATATGAAAGGAATCACACGTTATGTAGCTTTTTGTCCGATTTCTTTCACACCTTATAATGTTTTTGAGGTCCAAGCATCTGGTAGCATGTATTGGTAACCAGTACCTTATTCTTCATTATTGTACGGTAGTGTTTTCTTGTATGGATATACCACTTTTTGTTTATCCTAACACAAATTGATAGATGTTTGGTTTGGTCCAAAGTTTTGTTTTTAGTTTTTGTTTTTAAGATTTATTTGTGTATTTTCAGGGAGAGTTACAGAGAGAGAGGGAGAGACAGACAGAGAGATATTCCATCGACTGGTTCACTCCCCAGATGGCTGTCACAGTGAGGGCTGGGCCAGGCTGAAGCCAGGAGCTTCACTCGGGGTTCCTATGTGGGTGCTGGAGCCCAAGTACCTGAGCCATCTTCTGCTGTTTTCCCAGGCATATTAGCTGGGAGCCAGATCAGAAGTGGAGCAGCCAGGATGAGAACTGGTGCTCATACGGATGCCAGCATTGCAGGTGATGGCTTCATCCACTACACCACACTGGCCTCCCAGGTTTTGGTTATTATAATAATGCTGCCATGAATGTGTATATGTCTTTGCATAGACATAAGCAGATGAGCATATTTTCATTTCTCTTAGGAACATTACTAGGAGTAGAACTGTGGGTGATATGAAAGTCTATGTATCAGATTTTAAAAACTCCCAAACTGTTTTTGAAAGTGCAGAAGAGTTCCAGTTTCTTTACATGCTTGCTCCTTCGTGCTACCATCAGTATCTTTCTGTTCACAGACATTCAAAAAGATTTTAATTTTTATTTTTATACTCACTAATGATGCACAACTTTCAAAGTGTCTGCTAACATAATGTATGCTTTAAGTGAAGTATCCAGATATTTTGCCCAACTTTTAATTGGGTTCTTGGTCTTGTTATTGAATTGTGGGTGTTCATTATATTTGGGATACAAGTCTTTTATCACATAAATAATTCATAGATATTTTCTTCCTATCTGTATCTTTTTAAAAACCCTTTCTTCATAGAGTCTTGAAAAGCAAAAGTTTCTAATTTTGAAGAGATTTTTTTTTAAAGATTTATTTATTTATTTGAAAGTCAGAGTTACACAGAGAGAGAAGCAGAGAGAGAGAGAGAGAAGTCTTCCATCCGATGGTTCACTCCCCAGTTGGCTGCAACAGCCGGAGCTGCGCCAATCCGAAGCCAGGATGCAGGAGCTTTTTCCAGGTCTCCCACGTGGGTGCAGATGCCCAAGGACTTGGGCCATCTTCTTACTGCTTTCCCAGGCCATAGTAGAGAGCTGGATCAGAAGTGGAGCAGCCGGGACTCGAAGCGGCGCCCATATAGGATACGGGCACTTTAAGCCAGGGCGTTAACTCACTGCGCCACAGTGCGGGCCCCTTGATAAATCTTTGCCTGATACAAAGTGGCTTGTATTTTCTCCCAGTTTTCTAGTTCCAGTTTTTATGATCTATTTAGAATTAATTTTGTGTGTTGTGAGATGGTGGTTGAAATTCTTGCAGTTATCTTAGCCCCATTTGTTGAAAACCATCCTTTCTACATTGAATTGCCTACATACCTTTGTTGAACCTGAGGTCACCGTA